ACCTTCAGTATCAATCCAAAGACATTTCCCTTCAGCTCCTCCCATATCCACTGGTAATTGGCACATTACAGCCAATGTGTGACAAAGCTGGCTTTTACCAGTACGGAACTCGCCGAATATCTAAGAAAAGTGGAAAAAGTTATTAATGAGTTGATGAATTTAGAATTTCAAGATAAACATTCATTTATTATTTAAAGATCACCAAAATTAACAGCAGACACTGTTGAATGTGCAAAAAATTTGTTGATATCTGTCAAATATAAAAATATTTACCTCAGTGATGGATCCCGTTTCCACTCCACCTCCAAGCAGACGATCTAGCTCGCGACTACCGGTACCTATCTGAATAATTTCGGACCGCTTGACATGCACTTCACTAGCAGTGGTAAAACCCATCGGTACTAGTTTTGCCGCTTCTGCCTAAAATTAAACAAAATCATCGAAACAAAAAATTTTTATTAATCCAATGAAGACTTGATGAATTTGACCTTCATTTTTCATTTTGCTATAGCTATGTTCAAAATAAAAATACAAGATGACGATTTCTTATCGAATAAATTTGCAGCAACCTATTTTGTATTCTAATTAAGAAGTTAGTCTTTAATAAAACACTGTCTTCTGAGCCTAAATTGATTTTCACTTGCATATATCAAAGCATAAAGAATACTGTTAACCTGTGGCTAAGACATCTCAAATACTTCTCGGAGATTTCACATAGCATTAATCTTTTATAAGATAATGGAACTATTTTTTTCCTCATCCTCACAAATCAAAATAATATAACAAAACATTTTACGAATATTTTCTCAGCTTTCTGTTCGCTTATGCCTTTGATAGCGTATAGTTCCTTTCGTGGTGCATAAGCGATTGCTTCAAATGTGCAAAAACCAGCTTCTTTCAGCTTTCGGATATCAGCAGCGGATATTCCAAATTGCTAAAAAAAAGGAGCAATTCTGGAGCATTAACGTCTATGATTAAGCATTATAAATTCCAATCAGTGCATTCAATGAGAAGTTTACTCATTTGTTACTTCTCTTTTATCTCTCATAGAAATTCCTTAGAAAGTTCGAACAAAATATATTAAAAATTTTTTACCACTTTTTATTAGGCAATTATGAGCTAGATCCTGGAAAGATTAGCAATAAAACAGCAGTTAACGATTTACCAGTTTTGTTTCCATGCTAATAAGCACAATACCTGATGAAGTTCTTAAATATTCCATAGTAATACTTACAATAGTCTTAGACTTGTTCGAATTTTTAAAAACAGTTAAAAACTTATGTAAACTTTAAATTTTACTAAAAATGTTTAACCTCAAGTTTATCAACAACCGTGTAGGAATTAACATCGTCCTCCTCAACTGCTACACTCTTACTTGCTTCCTCTGTAACCGCTGATACTGACGCTGAAGCTGAAGCTGAAGCCTTCTGCTTTTCTTTTTCCTTTTGTCTCTGAGCCATCCTAAATAAATTGAACCCTGTTTAACACAGTTGAAAATAAAAACGAACGACCGATTCAAAGTGAAAATTCACGAATTGTATGTGGTAAGATAGACGTAAACAAGCAAAAATTCACACTGTATGCTATCAAGGATTATGGATGAATAGTAATCTACGGAAAACACGTAAACGATTTACCGAAGGCACGTGGAACGAACACGTAAAAACAGGAACAAAAGGCGTGCAAAGGATAAATTCAAAACTAAACACTGAATGCTGCACGTTTCCCGCGTCGAAAGCTGCAGCTCTATAATTTCTCGTAAAATCACATTTAAGTTTTGTTTTTCTCAAATTAAAAAGAAAAATTCTGTGAAACATAAATTATAAAATATGTAACACTGATAAAGTTTGACAAAATTAATTAAATTTAAATTAATATTTAAACAAAAAAAAAATTTTTTTCATTGTATTCGATTATTATTATTATTCGATTATTAAAATTATTATTCGATTATTAAAATTCGATTATTATTCGATTATTAAAATTCATTGTATTCGATTATTATCTTTTCTCATTTTGTAGTTTTCATTTTGAGTATAAAATCAGAACTAATTTTTGCTGAACATTTTGAATTTAAGCTAAAATATAATCTTTCGAGTTCATTCCATTATATTTCAGAATGTGTATTAAAACTTAGACTCAAAAGTTTTAGTTTTCTTTGAAATTTAACTTCAAAATCTTACAATCTTATTTTTTTAGTTAGATTTCTCATTTAAAATATCTCATTGCATCTTTTTAATGCTTCTGAAATTATTTATCAGAAATTTTAGATAGGACTGGTAAAAGTTCGACAAATAAGCATTCTAACTGAGCGGTATTCAACGAAAAACAAAGAAAATTTTTGAATGATTAATTGAGTTTTAATTACTTTTGATATTACTTTTAGCATTTGATAATATTGAAATTTAATCACTGCTTCTTCTTTTTTTATCATTTTCCTCTCAAATTTATCGATGGTTTCTTCTCGATGCTTGTGAATAGATTTATTGTGAAGATTTATAATCGAAATGCTTAAGGATCAATGAGAAATTTAGAATTTAAAAATTAAAATATTTAATAGCAAGAATTCAGTTAAATCAGAATTACTTTTTTCTTTTGTTGCAATCTTTTTTGTTTACTTCCCTTCAAATACTTTAAATTTTCTCATCAAAGTAAATCGATACTGATTAAATTCAAGCAATTAAATGAGATTTTATCAAATTAGGATAATTATTTGAAAAGATAAGTTTAATAGAGAAATGTAAAATTTCTGAAAATTTGTTTTACCAATCAAATTGTTATGGAAAAAAAGAAAAGAAATTTTATTTGGAATTATCCTGTGATAAAACTATAAATTTTGATTAAAATTGCTTAACATTTGCTTTATATCTTCATCAATTCTTTTTTTTTTTTTTTTATTATTATTACATATTTTAATGAATTTTAGATTAAAATTTTTTAAAAAAGAAAAGAGGAAAATGAACAGATGCTTATATTACTTAAATTCTATATCTTTTTCTTATCTTTAAACTTCAGCAAAGAAATTACAAGTGGGTAAATTGTTGACAAACACTAGAAGCTTAAGTATACAACAAACATTTTTTTTTTTTTTTTTTTTGCGTAACGAATACAAAATAACAGGTTTTCTAGTAATGTCTACAAATAATATCTTTAAAATTGATGTTGAAAAATCGAGAGTGAGTTATGCCTATCAAATTTCTTCCTTTCATCCATTCATCTGATCGCTTTCCTTAGATTTGCATCATTTCTGTCCTTTGTCATTCAATCATTTCAGTATGACAATTAGATGACACTTCGTCCTGAATGATTAATCTATCAATTCAGAATAGGTACTACTCGAAAACATTGCAAAATTAATTATTTTTCACTTTGTTATCAAAATTATATATTATTTGAAGTTATCAATTATACATTGGAAACATAATTGAATCATTGTTTATAACATATTAAATCAATTTTGAGAGATCACAGTTTGCTCAGAAATATGAACTTCCAACTTTTAAACACTGATCTATTTTAATCTCGCTTTCAGGAATAAAAAAAAAATCACACAAATTATTTAAAAGTAATATTTTCAATTATAAAGTGACGTACGTACGTATATAAGTATCCTTTGTGAGTGCTCATGGATACGTGTGTTTTAATATTTTATTTACTTTTTTAAATTATAAACCTTTAAAATTGATCTTTTTTTTTTAAGTTTTGACTTTCAACTTTTATTTATTATTGACGCGGCTTCTGGTTCAAAGCAATACTTTTTTTAAATATTTATTTCAAAATTCAAAATTCAAGATTTCTTTGGTATAAGATTTTCGATAAATATAAATATTCAAGTTTTTTCTAATAAATTGAAGAGGTACTGATATCAATCATATCTCTTAAATGATCCGAAATACCATCATCCCTGCTAACTGATAAATCAAATAAAATATTTTTGTAGAGTCAACTTCTGTTTCATTAAAAAATCTAAATTGTTTCATTGCTACTCGTAACTTTTTCATTTTCTATAATTTATTCTTTTTTCCTAATATATCTTTTATTAATTGCTATGATTGCTATTAAATATAAATATTAATTAATCAAAATTTTGTTTTATTGCTATTTTTATCACAGTGTCTAATTACTATTTTTCATATTTGGAAAATTTTATTTTCGATGATTTAGCATAAAAACTATCAAATAAGGAATGACTAAAATTGCTGGTGTAGAGAATGTAGGAATAAGTAAAACATACGACTGTCATTTTCTGGTATAGTTCAGAGTGAAATGCTTTAAACAAATTAAAAGTGGAGACACTTCTTCTTCTCCTTAAATCAGAAATCAAACATATCTGAAGAACTATTCCACTCTCAGTCCGTTTAAAATAAATAATCATTCATCTTTACTTTTCAAATCGTAAATTGCTATTTGGATAAGATCCCATAAAACTGTCATTTTAATTTTTTATAAATAAATTCAATTTGATTCGATTATGCTACAAAATAGAAGTAAAACTTAGAGTGAAACTTTGATACAATTTTTGCATTTCAGTTTTTGTTACTCTCTGCTAACAACACTAATTCTTATTTATTATCTAAGATCATATTTTCTTTTTTTTTTTTTTCTTTTATCATAAAAGATGAAGAAAATATTACGAATTTTATTATTATTTCTTCCTTCTTTTTTTTTTTTCCATGCTATTTATTTATTGTTTTTAAGGAATATTTTGTTCCATAAAAATTTCAAAATTTTTCAATAAAAGAATAAATTGATAAAGTGAAGTTAATGATAAACAAATATTAGTAAATAAACTAATTATTAAGTTGAATTAGTAGTTAATTGATTTTCAACAACTTTGTAATTTAATTTAAGTCTAAAACAGAGAGTTTACATTGCGCTCTTTGTTATTTCACCCAGTAGCGCCAGACGTCTGTCTAAAAGACTTCGAAACGTAAGTGTTGTGATTCGCAACATTTTAATATCAATCAAATTTCTTGTAGTTTAACTTTTGATTGAAACAAATGGATTTCTTGCCAACGATCGAAGATCCACGTCATACGCCTGGAAAGCGACACGGTTACGCAAAGGAACAATTATCACCTCACGCACTCACGAACAATAATCAAAAATCTCTACTTAACAGTTTTATCACTACTCCACCGGTTTCTAAGCCACCAAATCACTTTATCAGTAATACTAACAAATTTTATCTGACTAAGTATGTCAATCTGACTAAGCTTACTTTTTATTTTTTTATTTCAAAAACACAAAAATTTGATGGAATTTAGGAAATCATTTTTCCATCTGTTTTTTCTTCTTCCTTCTCAAAAAGTGCTATGAATTCTAATTTCATATTATAATTGGTTTACGACGAGTTTATACGTAATTTGAATTTCCATTAATTTACTTAACATTATGCGCAGAGAAATAAACTTTATTCACACTGTTATAGAAAATAACAATTGCAAGAAGAAAAAGAAAATCAAATTATTTCAAAATCTGTTTTTTATTTCAGGCAACAAAATCAGGAACGTAACAGTTACACGTCATCTTACCCAATCCGGAAATCTGCATTCTTGGTATACAGCAATTCTTCGAATCAGAAAGCACCAGAAATGCAGATAGATCCACCAACTATCATCGGCAATCCATTAATTACTCGTAATGATATCCTAAAGCCAAAGCCAAGATATGCTACATCTGTTAGCCAAGTTTATAACAAAGACTCAATAAAACTTGGCAGTGCACAATATTCCGATAATAGCAATGTGAGAATATTCAATCTGCTTTTACAATATGGCAGTCAAAAAATTTTTAATTTAATATTGAAATTTATTTAGCAGAAAAAAATTCAATTCACTAATAGTAGCAGATGCCAAGAGCTTTTGTTGTTGATATTTTGAATTATATTAGAGATTATAGAGAGTATTTGAATCAAATATCAAAAGTAACTTAAATTTTTTGTAGTCATAATATCAAAATGAGAGTTAAGACTAATTTAAGTTGAGACTAATTTTTGATTTCAAATTTAGGAAAATTTTACGACGAAATTCATTTACGTAAAACATTTAGAGTACTGGAAAACAAATAATAGGAGTAGACCTAGTCACTAACAGACAGGAAGGATTACAACAACAGTCAATGCAAATGGCTTGCTTTGAATTGAAATCCAGGTAAGACAAAAGAAAGAAAAATAAATGAAAAATGTTGATATCAATGTTGAAATCATTTTTTGATATAATTTCATCTCAATTACTTTTTGATTTATTTACTTTTATATTTGTATTCACTACTAATTATCAATTTCAACGTGTACTCTTTTCTTTTTACTCTGAAATTGATAATACTATTCGATATTTATGTGACATATAGCCAAGTATGCGATTTGAGCCAAATTTGCTAAGCAGTAATTATATATTATTTTCTCTTTGAATACAGAATGATGAATATATGCAGAATATATTTTAGAGAAGTACCAATTATATCAGAAAAGAAAATGGATGATATGCCGCGATTGAAAAATTTTAAAAATATCTTGAATAAATTCCAGGTATCTTTTGACAAGACTATCATCTAATTTAAATATATTTAACTTATCTCTGTGAATGCAAAGAAGCTATGAATATTAATAATATATATTTCACTCCTTAGTTTCTTATCAAATTGAGAAGTGTTATGATATTTATTTTCTGTAAAAATCAATCAGATAGCAAGTGATTATGCATTACGACAAAAGCAGCAACGAGAACAAAATCGATATAATAGCAGCGATGATCGATCGGATCAAGAATTTAACAGTTCAGATTGGGAGCAATCATCTGAGCATGCATATTCCGAGCAGAATTACAAGTTGGCAAAGAATAAAGTAACATATTTTAGATAAATTCATCAATTATTTTTTATTAATTATTAATTAATTAATTAAATTCATTAATTAATTGACAAGTTGAAAATATCAACAAATAAAATAAATCTACTATTAATGAAGTTTGAGAAATCTTATGCATTACAGCAAAGGCATTTACGACCATTTACGGTATCTGCTGGGAAAAACATTCGTAGCAGTTTACCGAAACAATGGCTTACGCGGGTAAATGATACGTACGTGAACGTAGAAAGACGCTCAGCAGCAATGTCTGGCATGTCATCTGTGCCACCATCACCGCCAATGTCATCTCATAAGCCACGAAATAGAACCAACAGTCTAAGAGTTCGTAAAATCTTTCAAAACATTCAAATATTTCATTCCCAAAATATTTAATGAAAAATTTTTGTACAATTAAAATCAATCATTGTTCAGATAATAAGTATGAAACAACGAGGATTTTTCAATAATAATTCCTACCGGAATGAGCAAATGACATGTCAACTTCACAATGTGAACGATCCTAGGCCAATTACAGAAAATGAGACAAGAATAAGCCCAGCTGGCACACCATCATCCTCTTCTCACGGTTTTGTCCAACTTTGTTTTCTTTTTCCTCTCCATTTATTAAAAAATACTAGAATGATAAATTGAAATAATTGGAATAGTAAATATGCAAAAATAAGACAACAATTTAACATTTATGAAAAATTTTTTTAAAAAATTGCGGATGTTAATGAAATATTTTCAAACATTTTTTTCTTAAAATTACTAAAAAACATTTTTTATTTAATAAATGCAAATTAAAAATGCAATTTATTCATAAGTTTAATTGAATAGAATAATGATCCTCAGGTTGCATTATCCAATGTATCTCAACGGATAGCTACAAGAGAGTGATACCAGTGGCGCAGATGTCGTCACCTTCCCCATCATTACCGCCATCAAAATCGCAAAGTATTAGCAGTGAAACGGAAGACGATGATGATTCGGCATCTGTTATCGGACTCTATAAACAGGTCAAGTTGCTGTGAAAATCAATCCTTACAACATATTAATGTATATCATCTGATATTATTATTATCATATCAGATGATATCATCTAAGTCAAATAACAAGTACAACATAGTGGATATCTTATCTTTTATCATAAGAAATTAATTATTACATTAAAATTAATTTGAAATGAATTTCAACAGAAATATTTTAAAAATGAATGCATATACATTCAGTGTCACAGTCTCATCAAATATTTGCAGATGACTTCAAATCATCTTGAAATATTGCAATATGCTTCAACTCATGTGAACAAATTTTTCGTAAATCGTAATTTAATGGTACCAAAAGTGAATTTACAAAAGTGACGAATTTTTATTTAAATTTGAAAATCAAAGTGAGATAAATTCAAAGTAAGATAAAAGTTATATGATAAAATGAATGTATTTTAAAATTAAAGCAAAAATACTCCAATAATTTTGATAATATCAATGAGATACTTTAGTTCAGATTAAACTTCAGCTTCAAATTTCTAATTTTATAAGAAAAAAATTTTAGATTGCAATTGAGTGATTTAATTTTCGAATCAATGATGCCAGTCTTCTCGAAATGTTATACACACTTTTTCAATGCATTTTTACCGCATGATGGCTTCCTGAGTTCAGCAATCAATGTGATAGTAAGATAAATGGCAATAATTGTAAATGCGGCACTGATATGGCTTATCAGTAAAGTAATCAAACAACAATGCGCTTTCTCTCTTATTGCAGGCTGAGCCTTCTTTATTCATCCATTCAAATCCAATAAAGTCTGACCTTACAGTTGGAAACATATGGAACCCGCCGATACTTGTCGAGATTAGAGCAAAACAAGATGAGGTATGATCGTTGTGATTTAGATATTTGCATATTGTTAATTGAAGTTTAAATTTTTCATTTTTGTTTATTGAAGTTTAAATGCTTAATTCACATTTTCAACGATACATTCTTGAACATTATGCAAAGTAAAATGATTTACTAGTATGCTTGGCTCATTAGAAAATTAGTTTTTTTTTTTTTTCTTTTTTAGGAGAAACGTATACTTCGACATATTCTGGGATATCGGAATAGCCAAAAATATCGTTTCCTAATTATTCCACGATATAATTTGCTAACATTCAAATCATTTGCTGCGAATCATCAAAATGTAAGTAAATTTTCCCTTCTAACTTTATTTAAATTATAATCGGAATTGGAATTGGAATGTTGTAATGCTTCAACAAAGTTTTAGGTACATTATGAGTTTTATAAAATATAAGCAACTTGCAAGAACTTAATTGAAATTACTTATTGATATTTGATTTATTTGCTATTTCCTTGTCTTTCTGATTATTTAATTTTAACTTAAAAACTAATAATTTTAGGATGTCAGTGAAGAATACGAATTGAAGATATGCTTCATCTTATTACAACTTATCTATGCATTGAAATCTTTTCAGTTGAACGGTATTGAAGCGATTAACGATGATTTAAGTGAATTCATCCTGCTGTGCAGGTATAAATTTAATTGAATCAGAATTTCATTTATTGAGCAAAAATTCTTTGCTTTTAAAAAGTTTTAAATTTAAACTATCCAATTCAAATATTGTTTAGATATACTCGAATTAATCAAAAGATTGGCAACATGGATCATCTACCAAGAGTTTTGCTACTTCAAGTAACTTTCTTTTGATTTAATTCCTTTAACATCTTAATTAAAATTTTCTATGACTTGATCTAGGACAAATAATCATAGTCGCATAATGTAATCTTGATCTTTTGAAAGATAAAAGCTTCAGTAATACAATATGTCGCCATTTCCTGACAATATCAGTATCTATCCATAAGACCTTTTCAATTTTCTACTACTAAGAGAATTGTATTGTTTCAAATGCTCAAGTTATGACAATCGTTAATGCTTCATTTTTAGGAGACATTTAGAATGACGAAAAAGCCTACCATAGGATTATGTGACTACTGTCTCAAAATACTTGCAACGATGTTGAACCTAAACAATAATTCTCTAACAAGTTTTACATACCCCATCCAGGTAAATTACCCATGCTCGTTTGTAGCACATTACCTTAATAGAATCCTCACATGAAGACTGCCAGTTATATAGTATTTATACTTGAGATTTCTCAAATACTTGAAATTTGAAAAACATCCTAAATTATGCTATAATTTGAAGGAATGCGCTAAAGCATTGCAACAAGACAAATCTAGTTCGTTGACAGAGGCAAAAAACGCACTAGAACTTGGGATTTTCGTTGGCCACGATGCTTCTTCATTCAATGATGAAGAAGACGCACAAGCTTGGATTGATTCAAAACGAGCCGACTTTGTTAATTACCTGGTAAAACAAACTCCATACGAAAAATGATAAGTTCTAGAGCAAAAGTGAAATGCTCATTGGGTACAGAAGTTCTCTTGATTTTAGAAAAGTTGGATTATTCTAGATCGCACGCTATCAACGTGAAATAACATAAACATCAAACCCTACCACGTTACCACTGCCTTATAAAATCAACAGAAAATGTTTTTAATTTTCAGTTCCGTGAAGTCGCTGACGGTTCCTGCTTAGTAAACGAAGTATACGAACAGTTGCGTCTGCAGTTCCTTCTCTCAATCACACCACAAACGCTGTTGAAAATGGTCGGAAATATGTACTTATAAAATCTTCAAATAAAACAATGAAACTGCGCACAAATCTGTACAGTTTGATATTTAAATAAGCCATGAATCCTTTCCAGGAAGTTTACGGTACCTATCAAATAACTCCATAATACCGGGATATTTATTCTCTAAACAGTCCGACTGAAAGAAATTTTTTATTATCAGATAGCAAAACAAAACGAAAGTTAGTTATCACGAAAATGAACAAAAGAGGAAAGGTTGACATCAGAAAGATGAAGCAAACAAAATGCAAAAGTACGCAAAGGCCCTCAAAGCAACTACGTCAACTTAATCTCTCATGATGTTATTTAAATTCAATCCTCTTAAGAGACTACCGTACATTAACAAGCACTAGTTTGCATTTAAACTTGGTTTTTTTTTTATTCATTACTGCAGAACACAAACCAAAACAATCTTCTAGAGATCCAAAAAATGGAAACGGAACCTCTCCAAGTAAGCAGGCATTTACTGCGCATAACAAATGAAAAATTCTCTTATCGCAGTTTAATAATGCCCGCTTCACGTAGTTTCATAAGTTTTCTTAAAATATCTGGATTTTGGAGGTGCTCACGTACTGCTCCAGGATCCTGACTCATTTGCTCCAGTAATAGCCGCATTCCTGGATCCCTGAAAGTGAATAATATGGGCTGAAGAAACTGCAAAAAAGTTACTGACATCAAACAAAAAATCTGATGAAAACGAACTTGAGTATTTCCTGTACTTCTGGATCTCGCAACGCACGTTCTCGTGCGGCATCCGGATCTTCATTATTGTTGCTCATTGCATTCATTAAACCATCACGAGCTTCCTGATTATTATTGTCTAATGCAAGAGCTGCTTCATATGCACTCTGTGCCTTCCCATATTCTTTCAGGGCGATTAATGCAGCGCCTTTCCTGATATAGGCTTTTACTGAAAAGAAGACAGATATTACATATAAGTTGATATGTAATTAAAAACATGGAATTTTCAGGTATAAATTATGACGTATACATATAACTTTCTACTGCACATCATAAACTTACTAAAAGTAGGATCTTTCTTGATACACGTATCACAATCTTCAAGTGCTCGCTGGAATTCCATCAGTTTTGTATAACAAGCTGCTCTATTTGAATAAAGAACAGGATTTTCGGGATCTCGCTTCACAGCTTCGTTATAATGCTTCATAGCTTCTGGGTATTTACCTTGAAAAGTTTTAGTAGTATAAAATAAAGAGAACCTAAAATATTCTAGGTGTATTAGATAGACTTTTCTATATTAAAAAAATGTGTCATAATGAAAAAAAAAGTTGCGATGAAACATTTAATGATTTTTGAAACAAAATACAGGACTTATTCATGCTTTCAGTCACAGAATAGATGAGACTGCTGATTATTGAAGAAAACTAAATTTAAGGCATGATCTCCAAAATCCGAAGAAAACTAACCTCGCTTGAAAAGTTCGTTACCCTTAATTTTCTCTTTTTCCGCTATTTCTGGATCTATGTAAGCTAATCTTTCTCTCTCAGCTAGGTCTTTCTCCAGAACTTTCTTTTTCTTGACTATTTCCTGAAATTTACACAACCTGATAGCGATTGGACGAAAAGATAAATGACTGATAGAGTCTACAAAGAAAATAAACGGTAATTAAATTCGATGTAAAGCAAGCAATCAATATTACGCGAAACACATTAAGACTGAATAACTGAAAGTCATAAAATCAGGAACCAAATAAAGGAGTTTAGAAATAATGTCTCACCGGATCTCTATGTTCCGACAATGACTTGTCGAAATAGGTAAGTGCTTCTTTCAATTGATCCAGTTTCAGGTAAGCATTTCCTATCCGGGAAAAGGCTCTGTAAAATAATTTCATTCACATGCTAAAATCCAACTTGACCACAATTATATAGGATTCTTATCTACATTTACATCTGTCTGAATGGAGGCAGATATCTCATTTACTAAAGATTTTTCATATAATTTACTTTGCAATTAGCGTATAGTCCGCTCGCTGTTCACGACCAATGTCCACTGCTTTCTTGCAAAGTTCGATACATTCGTCATACTTTTTCTGCTCGAAAAGCACCGCTACAATAATATAATATCTGCTTCGTTCATCATATATTATCTAATCTATACTGAAGTTAATGATAATGCCTGCCGACAAAATCATAAGAAAACAACCAACAAACACGAATAACTAACATAAACACTCAAAGACATATTTCAAATTAGAATAAAGTAAAGCAGATAGGAATTATGGTAAAACAGGTACACATACGACGATGTATATATATGTAATCTAAGATCACTCAGTATAAAATATGACATTTCTAGCATTTTTAACACTGTAAAGTGCTCCAATCAGAAGCTTGAATTAATGAGACCATTTATCATAAAAAATGAATTTGAGTCTTGACTAAATAGGATTAATGCAAATTTCTGATAAATGACTGCTTAAATATGTTCACCAAAAAATTACTGGAAATAGAAAGCACATCATCAAAGATAAGTCCAAAATTCTCAAAATCACATCCTCCGACTAGCGCACTACTAAATCATTAGGTATTAATAGAAGCAGTAAAAGAAAATAAAAAGGATTTTCTTAAATTATAAATAGATCCCACCAGCTTTATTGTTATAAAAAACAATACTCGTAGGATCAATCTCAATAGCTTTATCATAATGCTTTATTGCTTCATCGAAATTCCTTTCTTTATAGGCTGCATTACCGAGCTCTTTTTCTTTTAAAGCCTGCAATGTAAACCTCAGTAGACAGCACATATTAAATATTAAGTAAAGAGAAATTTAATCGACGATTATTGACACAACAATCAAAAAGAACAAATTACCTCTGCCATTATAGTTTATTGAGAACACTGCCTTTCACTATAAACGCGTCCTTGTCTTAATGTCACCTAAAAATTAGAAATTATATGGCATTACGTGAGATCTGCACCAATGATTACGAGATTGCCGCATAAATAAAGTAAAAGTTAACATCTCAGTATGACATTTTCATAAAGAAAAGGAACGATATGACATTTATATATTTAACTACTTGGACAAACTTGGCAAATCAAAGTGAAAGCCTTGTTTACTTTCAAATGTCTTATTATAATGGGTATTGGAATTTATCACAAGAGATTTACGAATAACAATGGACTACATGAAGAGATTCATCTTAATGTGAATTGCAGTACCGATATGAGGTGAAGCCTACTGGTCAGGAAATCAGTGAGCAAAGTGATTCGGAGTAATGCAAACATAAGTTCCTATTCAAAGGCGACATTTTATGTACAACCGAGTGCAGTACCCATTACTAAGCCCTTAGATACCTGGGGAAGATTGCCCACACCTCCCCGAGCCGAAACGTCGCAGAACGCCAAGCAGTCATCGAATACAACTGCCGAACCAATCAGCACAAAACCAATTCTGTATTCGAAATTGTTCGCAAACGCCCCCGCCCCCGCCATTCCAGAACAATCTAGAAGCATACACAGTAATCCGCAAGTCCATCATAAGACGCTTGCACACTGTTGCAGCATAGGTGACGACTTAATCGCTGCTACGTTCTTTTGTGTGTTGTTTCACCGGGTCATAGGTCAAGGGTTGTCTTGTTGTATTCTTTCTTTTTTTTTGCAAATAAATCAATTACTGAGAGAAGAGAGAGAGAGAGAACTCTAATTATGTCATTGTAAAAGAAAATGATAAAAAGGGAATTCCAAAAAGAGAGATTGTACAAACTGGCGGAGAATGTGAAAACTTAGCAATGAGATTTCCAGTTTAAATGCTAATTTGACGAAATAAGAAATAAGATTGTTAATGTCACAAAGGGAGAGCTTCTGGTTCAATGGTTAACAGTTGACGAACAGTGTTTCCCACTTTGTCTTGCATCATCTCAAAATCATTGAAATTAGTTATTGAAAATGAAGGACAAAACTATCGAAACAAATGATAAGTTGTGTAATAATTAGTTATGCAATAATTGCCTCATCAGATTGGTAAAGTAAAGTATGATTAACTGGGATATTTCTCACTCAATTTCTGGTGCAATTTCGTTAAATAAACAGAAATTTAATAAAATAATATTGTTGGAATATTGTTAACAAGTTGTCCAGTAGAGTTGCAATGTGTAGTAGAAGTTTCAATAATTAAAAAAATTTTCATCTACCAATAAATAAAATGTTTCTCCCAAAGAATATTGGAATCTTTGAACGACGCCATATATGCCTCTATTTTCATTAGTATTATTACTCGCAAAAAAATGCTGTGTTGACCAGATTGGATCTCAGATGAGAGGAATGGAATTTTCGTTTCCTTAAAAAAGGTGTATTAATTCTGTACAGATAAAATTCCGTATCAGCTATAATTAAACTATTTAATTTAAACCCGAAACATCACTATAACTTCTGCATTTTTGCTTTTCTCTGAATTCTTTTAGTCTGAATCATTTAAGGCATTCGAATTTCAGATGGATTGCGATAGTCGATTGTTTGTATTAGTGCTATCGTTTCTGGTTTGTTGTTTCAATATAGCGCAAGCATCAACGGGCTTTTATGTTGATAATGAAAATGCACAATCGATACCACTTTCTGTTAGCAGGTCCTTAAGCTTGCTTCTCACTTCTTTTATTTCAAGGGTAAACAAAGATTAGTTGATAAAGATCCACAGATTAGCTAATCTCACACAGACTTAATGTTTAAAAACTACCCCTTTGATAAATAAAGTAGATTTAATTCTCAATCATCGAAAATTTTGATCAGTTCATTGGTATCATATTGGGTGCTGTTTATTTTTAACGGAACAGTTATCAAAATCTGTAGATATCCCTCCGAGTTACGTAATAAATATTCAAATTAAATTATGCAAGTATTATGGGTTTTAATTTGTTTAAATATTAATTGAGGATATAAAAATGATATGTGAAACATCGTAATTTTTCACGTTATTCTGACAAAAAGTTTATTCATCATCTCTTGTTTCTTCGTCATATTTTTACTGCAAAGTGAGGTTGTCAAACAGTATCTCTCCATCCTGTGTTTTCAGGCTGTTAATTCCTTCGGTTACCTAATTCTAATAGGTTCAAGAAACAATACATTTGCATTTTTCTTTCATGTCTATTAATGGCTTTTCAGACATGGAAGTGCGAGATTGGAGTCAAAAATATTAGAATTATTGGGGATTGGATATCCAAGACCGCTAGTTGTTGGTGTAAAGGATGACATAGCATCACGTTTTATGGCAGATTTATATCGAAACTTGGAGCATGATGTTGAGTTGAATCCCGCTTACAAGTATTAACACTTTCTTTCTTAATTAATTTTTAAGTTAAAGAACTAATTTCAAAAAAAGTATTAATTAAATCGTAAATATTGCTGGAAACAGGGTGAAAAAATGTGACTGCTGCACTGCAGTTTAAGGAGATGAATGATTTAATCTAATTACATAGATAAAGAATCATCGGATACTACATTTGTTGATTTCTTTCTAGAAAATTTTTCTTCTATTTTGCATTGCAAATTTTTAATTATGTGAGGAAAATGTTTGCTTTTCATTTTAGATATCTGGCTAGTGGACAGTTACTGTCAGCAGATGAGAAAGAAGCCATTGAATTAGGCGAAGCTGACACAATTGTCTCATTCTTGCCACGAGGTTGTGATTTTCCACTGGCTGAGATTATTTCTTTGGTGATCCTAATAATTTTTCCGAAACATACTGAGAACATACGCTTTATTTACCTTTCATTTTCCTTTTTCAGTTATTGATCCTTTTTTTCAGTTATATATCAGTTTATCTATGTGCAATATCGTTAATCTATGCTGCATATGCATATGATTTAACTGTGAGAATATTAAAGAATTAATTTTCCCATAGTTGAATCACTCTGAGGTGAATTCGTAATATATATATTACTGTTTGAATTTTCACATATTGCAGTGGGAATATTTTTTCAGAGCAGAGAACAGCACCAAATTATGGGACAAATTTGCAGTTCGATCTTGCGAATATACCGATAGGTGGCCAGCTTTTGCATGCTGAACTTCGAATATTTTTTAATGGTTCGATTAAACCAAGGCGCGTCTTCGCAACTATTCCGTATTCAAGGTTTGTTATGACAGTTATTAAAAACAACTAGTAGTTTTCAGAATTTATTTATCTTTCCCTAGGTTCAATGGTAATGTTTACTTCTTAGTAGTATTATCACTATTCAGTAATATTTACTACTTCGGACTTATTTACATGAAAGATTCTGAACAGTTATAAAACTGAATTGGTATAAATGTTGTGGAGCTGTACTGTATTGGAAAAATCTTTTGTTCTATCAATGCCAGTTTTTTCATGCGGCACTTAATAAAACTGCTTTGAAAAATTTTTACTGGTTTTGTATAATGTTTGACTTGTTTAGAGATCTGAGTTATACAACAACAATAGAGTCACGTATATCAGGCAGCGGACATTTTGTTATAAATATTACAGAAACACTCTTACGCTGGATTCATAATCGTTCGATTCTTAATATTGTAACTCTTTATGCAATCTCAGCGCACGGTGCGTTTCTGAAGATTTATGTTTAATCATGGACAAACTTTTGTTGTATGTAAAAGAACATAATTTGATCACGTTTCCGAAGTGTAATTCTGAGCGCTTTGCATACTAAGAAAATACGATAAGTGGAAAAAATTGTTTTAATGAACTCGAACTTGTAAATAGTTAATATTAAAGTGAATAGTTAGTATTGAAATCTTTTGCATCTTTTTTTCAGGAGAGAGGAAGCTCTTGGAAAATTTTGGTGAATGGCGTGGATTTGGGATAGCTTCCTTTGTGGACGGTATAAATCATATCCACCAACGCGTTAAACGTGACACATCTGATGAAACCAGTGCGTTTGATGATTATGGATATGGTTTTTCGGCAAGACCTGATCCACTTCGACATTCAGGCAGACTTTAAAAATTTTTCTTTCATTTTTTAGCATCAGTTATGTATATGTATATATTTTTTTGCTATGTAGTTATTTCTATATTTGATTTATTTTCAGCTTCTAATAAAGGCTGCCGTAGGCGAACACTTTACGTGGATTTCAAAGATCTTGGTTGGCAGGTGAATGCTGAACTTTTGCTTGTTTAGCACAGCACTTTGACCACAATTATGAAAAGTTTCGAGATGCCATTGGTCAATCGTTTTACACAATAAAAACTGTGCTAAATGATTGGAGAGTTCGGTGATCATTCTGATTTACAAATTTCTATAATTCTTATTATGTAGAGTTGCAACCTGCAGTGATTTTGTAAGAATGCTATAGGACTGGGTTATTGCACCAGATGGTTACCATGCATATTATTGTGATGGCTTTTGTTCCTTTCCACTGAATAATCATATGAATGCAACGAATCATGCTATTGTTCAGACACTTGTTCATCTCATCGACCCAACCAGGTTTGTTCATATTATGTGTTCATATATTACACATTTTAAGCATCTGTTAGTGTTGTTTTCATGAGCAAATTTTGGATTTATCGGAGTTTGCTTTTGTCCTATTTTTGTATCAACTTCTTTTCCATATTATCAGACATGTAAAAAAGAGAAGGAACTGCATTCTCTTCACTTTTGATATTGGTAATGTAGATGTATAATACTTAATACAGTGCAATAAGAATACTTGTGCAAGTGCTGAAAATTTATAGAGAAATAGTTACTGGAACACGGCGATTGTTATTTTTCTACAGAACTGAAAAGAGACAGAATGAAAACTTTTGTTTGAATAATTGTTAGTAAGAGTTAAATCCATGTATGGAATGGCATGTCATGCACACTTACCTCAAGTCGTGATTTGCAAGTCCAAAATTATCCTTCATTTATATGATATAAGAATTTTTTGTCGTTCGTGATTTGAACGATGCTCTTTCTCTGCATATCCCAAAAATATGTCTTAATGATTTATGTTTTGGAACTCGTCTATTCTTTTCATTCCTCAAATTACATACTTTCATTCTGTTCTTTTTTATCTTAAAATTATAATCTTTTATTTACAACCTTACTTGCAGATATTTTGAATTTCAGTTGTTTAAATTTTAGGTATATTTTTCCTTTCTACCAGATCATATTTGCAGGACATCAGAAGCAAAATGTGCACCTTCATCGTTACGTTCAATGAAAATACTATTCATCGATAATGCTCAAAATGTGGTACTGAAACGCTACAAGGACATGCAAGTACGTGATTGTGGTTGCCAGTAGTCACTATTAGTCATCAGTTTTTCACAATCTGTTTCGAAACTTTTCATCTATGTATATTACATATTATATTTAGTCTTTTATGTGGATAATTTTATTCTTCCTATTTTTTTAAAACACTCCAATTACTTTTGGACACTTTTCAATATGTCTAAATCAAGAAATAAAAAAACTAGAAAATATAGTCGATATTGTTTCTTCTTTTGAATACTCGGCAGATTGTGCTTTCTGCCGGAAATCATGATTCTATACTATGTCACAAATTTCAAGGTTCAAATTGATCATCCAACCCTGGATAAACATATGAGGTCAAGTTAGTGTTGTATAAAATATCTCTGAAACATAGCACTTTAGATATCAAAGTTCAGTTATTCTTCGGAAGTTTTATGAAATAATATTACGATTTTTCCATTGTATGTCAGTTCTTGTTTAATCGAAGATCTTGTAGAACAAAGTGCGTTTTATTTTAATTGATCAGATCAACAAAGAGTGTTTATAAACTTAAGGTGTTAACTGTTATGTATATTATAATTTTATGCATTATACTTACGTTTTACTGCCAGGAATTTAACGTATAAATGGCATTTGTATTCCTACTTATGCATAGTAATTGTTCACATGCAATATCTCCATATATTACGGTTATTGTTGTTCTTTTATTAGCTTTTCTGAAACCAGTGATTAACTTTTTCATGCTTCTTTCGTACTGATCGGGTGGGTTTATCTTTTGTTATTGTACTTCTTAAAATAATACTGCCAATACTGTGCACTTTTTATATTGTTATCATATTTTAGGTCAACTTCATTGAATGTTATGTTCTCATTTGATTAATCTGATCACTTTATCATACGTTGAGGGTAATAACGTAGTTTTAACTATTTGTAAGAATATTCCTTATGTAATGCACATCGGATGAAATTTTCCTGTAAAATGAAAATAATTTACTGTTTGTTATTGTTTGTTAAAATATTTATGCATCACTTGATATTATCTCTCATACTGCATCATATGCTGTTTTAGATAAAACTTATATGCAGTTTTGCCTTCCACATGATTGCATTATTTTTTACATTTATATACATAACGTGATAAAACCAGTTGAGTAGAACCGGTTCCTAATTAGAATCTCGAAGGATCACCGAAGTTCCATCTATCCTAATTGCTTATATTAACAGGTTACACTGAACAGGGAGATTATAGTTTTAAATCAATTTGCTATCATCTTTTCCGTGAAGTTTTAGCAGTTTAAAGATTTTTCTTCGGTTTGTTTTTATTGCTTTGTTTTTTAAGTTAAGCGGCCATCGTTTTGGATTGTTATGAAGCGATATAAGCGAATCTTGCTATACTATAAGCTTGCACAGTTCTTGGCGGCATTGTACATCAGATGGTTCAGGAAAAGTCCAAGTCAGTACATTTGTATGCACCACAAAAGTCAACAAATTTCCATCAGAGGAAAACATTGTCGTTATGGTTATCAAAGGTTTCTATTTTCTTTCCTGTTAGATTTGACTGAAAAAGTGGTCATCTTTCTATAATTAAACGGGTATTGGTTTTACTACTTTGAAATTTTTTCACCTGTTAGCGTTATCTAACATATACCGTTTATTCATCATGAGTAAATGCATTAAATTGTTTTGTTCAGGAAATTATGATAGCTTAAAAGTTTCAAGAGAATAGTAATCAAATTATTGCTATTAGCCAGAACAATTAAGTAGGTAAATTGATGTTTCGGACTGTTCAAGAAAGTTGTTACTGGTTAAAAAACTTAAGACATAATAGTTTGAACATAAACAGTCAATTCTGTAACAAAATGAAGGAGTATAGATTTTTAATTCTATTTGTAACCTTGGAATTCTTAATTTATTAGTGGCTTTCGGAATTGTTACTAATTGTAATAGTAATCTATTATTTACTGCATCACATAATTTGGTGGTATGACATAATTATTTACTATTCTTTTTTTTTTTTGCTGTAAGCTATTCAACCATTTTATTTAATCTACTGGTTGCTTTGGCATGACTTCAATTTAAAATTTTATTCCTAATCCCAAGTCTCAGAAATAATTTTACAGTTTCATCTTCGAAGTTGACATAGAATGCTGTTAGTTGATTTAAATTAAAAGTTTCCCATTTTGTATTTGCGAATATTTTCAGTTCTGGAACAACAGTGTGGATCGGTTGTCGTTATGCTTTTCTAATTACAGCTAATAAAAAGGATATTAAAAAAATTGTTGTTAAAAATCGTAACAACAGTAATCAAAAAATGATTATATATCCTGTCAAAATATATCCAGTACTGTGTGATAAACCTATTGCTTTCATCGATGAACTTAGTGCATTTAATCTTTCCAACAGAAAGTTTCACCTTGACGATATATTAATTGAGGTATCTTTTTTTACGTTTATTTGCACACCTTAATTTATTTATAAATTCTTAGTGTCATCGTAACTGCTTAGTCAATTAACATAGCATTTCACTTTTCATAAGAGCTTCCATCACTCGAGAATAGTTGCTGATTATATCAGTTAAATTACTTCCACTTAATTTATGCTTTCAAATTTATAATTATATTTCGTAGGAAGTCAGTCATGTGATGTTTACCTAAATTCAATATGATATTTGACTTCGAGAATTATATTTGTAAGCAAGTTACAATCTAATTAATTGAATTGAGAAGATTCATTTCTTAATGATTGCATTTTTGTTATGTTTCTGAGCTATTTGAACTGTTATTTGATGAAGAATGATACAGTTTTAATCATTCCCAATATATTTTAGTATCAGATTATACCGTTTTCTTCTTTAATAAACCATTTTGTTGTATTATCCCATTCCATTTTTATAATCAAATATATTTTTTCAATCTTTCGAAACAAATATTGCAAAAGAGAATAATTAAGATTAATTAAGTTAAGCAGCAACTGGACTAGATTATCACAGTTCATATACTACTGCTAGTATAATAAAATTATTTTTGTAGCCTAGTCATATTCCGTAAAAACTGGCATTTTTTTTTTATTTTTAGACTTTTTGCTCGTCAGATATTGTCGATGAAGCAGAATCATGTATTTCGTGTGGTGTTCATATTGCTTTGATTATTACATCTTTTTACAATCCATTAGCTGATTATTCGGATGAACTTCGAGAATATTTTCAAACACCAAGGTTTATCTTTTTGGCTATTCTTACTCTTATCCAATTATCATAGAAATTTTCATTATATATCATAAGTTGCCATTTGGTGTGAATGGTCAAAAGATCATATTTCTTTAATATTTCCATTGCATTAGTGTAGATTTAAATGCCTGAAATTTTATCTGAAATTGCAAACTTCCACGAATCACCATACTACCAAAACTTTCAGATTTACTTCTTGATTATAACTCCATTGTGATCTCTTAACTTGCTTTATGTAAGATGAATATCTATTTGCTTTTATCATGTAAATATATGATCGTAGGGAACTTCACTTAAATTTATAAATATCTTGAATTGATTAAATTCTTATGTAAATAATTTGTAGACTAGTTTCGGTGGGTGATATCATTGCTATTCATTGGCGTAAACCATGGAGCAAAAAAACGAAAGAGATATTCTTCAAGGTATTATATTACTTTCTAGGATAAACTCTTTATCATCGCTAATTTCTGAGAGTGTAAATGAGAACTAAATTGAATGAATAAATTATACTGGCTGTTTGGAATTAGCTTCTTTAGAAAAGTTAACTTTTATTTTTTTATAATTTTTATTAGTGGTCTCTTAACTTTATGCAAGTATCATATCTTCAGATTCTTTATTTCGAGGATTCGGAGGGACTGTTGGAAGCTATCGTCGATTCACAAAATACAACGTTATATCAGGTCTTATATTCAATTTGTCTTGTATGAAGGAGCAAATAATTATGCATTTTCCATTTTTTTAATTATATTTTTAAGGTCTTTTCTGCTTTGTTAAGATTTCGCTTTCATTTAGCAAAATTTTGATCAACGAACTTTATAACTTTTTCATATTTCTGTCTATTTAGTTTCTAGTTTGTAGTTATTAAAAAGTTATTCCTAAAATTTCTGTGCGATTTTAGTGGTTTTTCTTATAACTAGAATTTTTAAATTTATTCTTAGGACTTTCTTGTTTTTCTTGAAAATTTTGGTTTACACCGGATGACATTTAAATATTTTACAGGATAAGGGAATTTATGACAGAATACCATACAGTGATATTACGTGTTATGTGCCGGAACAATTCCTAGGAATAGCACGGCGAATTTCTTCTCTTATCGAAGCTAATTGTAGATTGAAAACATCCTCGCCAACACTGGTTATACTTCTTAGTGGTTCACTGGGTTCTGGAAAAAAGTTATTCCTAAAATATTTATCTTCTCTAACACATATGGATGTTTACTTTTCCAATTGGTTTGATATTTGGAATAGTGCATCTGCGATTTATGAAACAAATATTCATAATGCTTTTGAAAAAGGTTTTTTCTTTTTTTTGATTACATTATTCATACTTCACAAATGTCTTTTTTGATATTTTTTTTTTCTTAAATCAATTCCAAATTCAAATTATAATAAGAATATTAATTTAAACAATCTTTAGTTGCTTATTTCTTAATTCGTTTTTAGCTTCAACAAGTAATTTCTCATTATGGGCTCTTCTGAATGCAGATTTGCTTGGCTACGACACGGATGGAGCCAAACAAGGTACTTTAAATTTCTCCACTTCCAATAAAATTCCTACCGACTTTTTTTTCTAATTCTATTTTTAGTTAAATTTAGCTTAACATAAAACTACAAATATACTTCACTGCAATAATTGCATTCAAAATGGTCTCTTTATTTCAAAATCAAATAATAGAAAACATTGTATGTTCATCTCATTTTGAAAGAATAAATCAAGGATAGATTAGCAGTGTTCACCATGGAATTTTAAGCAGATGAACGAAAAATTTCAGGTTAGCATATAATTATTTACTAAACAGTTCTGTTTCATCTTTAAAATGACTCAATTAATGGTTTTTTCAAGTGTTGTTGACTTTAATTACAAGTCTGATTTTTTTAAAAATATTTTCAAGCAGAATTTTTGTTACAGATGCTCGAGGGTTGATATGTTTAACGAAGCTTCTTAAAACTTGCACCATACCTGCCATATTTCTGGTTTGTGATTGCAATAAATTATCAACATTACCGGTTTCATTACGTTCTTTAATTCTTTATCATTTCCAAATTCCATTACTCACCGAAGAAGATCGAAAATCTATAATTATGCATGAAGTTGATGAGCCAGATCTCATCGATATTGCTACCATTGTCCATCAGACAAGCGTAAGTTGTTCTACATTCTTTTTTACCTTGGACTCATCCATTTTATAATTTTCAGCATATTTTTTTCCATAAATTTTTTAGCATACTTATTTATAATCCTAACATCAAATTTGTTGTTTAAAGAAATTTGAATGAAAATTGACGATATCTAAAACTTGTCAAATTTTAGGGATTTACTTTATCTGATCTGCATGCTGTTCTATCGGATGCATTATTTCGGAAAAATACTACAAATTCGTAAGTCTTTTTTTGATGCTATTCAGGTAGGGGTAGTCAGATTTCTCAAATACTCGGAATTCATTTTTACAGGCCGAAACTAAAAACCGAACATTTCATATGGGCGATTGATACGCGTAATAAAAGATTAGCTGATAAAGTTGGAGCACCCGCTGTAAGTTATCACTAATTAGTTTTGAATTTAATTTCAAATATAATTCATCTAAAATACAGCTCGTTCTTTATCCAACCTTTAATATTTTGGAATATTGATTGTTTACAAATATTAATCGATAATGTACGACGTTGACTTTTGAGGACAAGGATTTGATAAGCAAATTAATGTAAAAAAAAAAACTTACTGGAAATAAAAATCTTTAATTTCTTAAATTCTTTAAAATGTTAGGGAAAGTTTATAGGTTTCATTGTGTTAATTTAAAACTACAGTTTCTCTATAATATTATTCCTAGACAAATTTATAGATACCAAAAGTGACATGGGACGATGTTGGTGGTTTAGAGGATGTCAAACAAATTGTTATTGAAAGTTTAATTCTGAATTTGCAAGGGAAAAAGAATATGAGACGTAGTGGTGCTTTGTTGTATGGTCCTCCTGGTTGTGGTAAAACACTCATTGCTAAAGGTTTAGGTTTTATTGTTAGAATCGCTAATTTTGAAACCCGTACTGCACCGTTCTAAGAAAAATTAAAACTTCTTCCAAAATTGAATATAAATTTTAATTTGTGTCCGTCCTTTCTCATACAGCTATAGTAAATTCATATAACAGGTTGATGTTGTTTGATGATTCTTTGACATTAAAATACTGAAAGTGTTGTTGACTACTATTTTGCAGCTATCGCAAATCAGTTTAAAATAACTTTTCTAAGTGTAAAAGGACCCGAACTACTCAACAAATATGTTGGCCAAAGCGAAGCAAATGTTCGCAAAGGTAGTGTGCTTTTTTTATCAATCTTAATTATGCATAATTATTTCTGAATCACATCACATATGACTATCATGATGATAGAAGAATTGTAGATATTTGAAAATTGTTGAAATCATTTCTTTTAGTGTTTGAGAAAGCGCGACAAGCTGAGCCTTGTGTATTATTCTTCGATGAACTCGATTCTCTTGCTTCAAAACGAGGTCGTTGCGGTGATTCTAATCGTGTAGTTGATAAGTGTGTTTATCAGCTATAATTCAACAGCAACTCTCCTATAATTTGTTTGTCAGCTATAATTTTTATAATATAATCATTTACGCTATCAATTTTATATTTAATTCCAGCATTGTATCACAGTTGACTGCAGAATTAGATTGCTTGGAAGATTCAAAAATCTTTATTTTGGGTGCTACAAATCGGCTTGATTTGTTAGACTCATCGCTACTGAGGCCAGGAAGGTAATCCGGTAACTTATATAATATTGTGTTATAATTCGAAACTTTTTTACATATCCATTTTTTTTGACTCATTGTGACGAATGAAAGATTCATTTCCGTTTCCTCTTTTTACTCGTTCTTTATTTGTTTAAGGTTTGACAAAATCATTGAAGTAAGTGGAACAAGGGATGTTGTAACACGTGAACGTATACTTCGTGCAGCTAGCAGAAATATAACATTTGCCGATGATGTTGATTTGAAAGAAATTGTATGCCATTAATGAATTAATTTATCTTTAAAATATCACTAACAATAAAAATTAATGAAAAAAACAACAACAGTTGTTGACATAATTTATGAAGGATAATACAATCTGTGAATGTAATGGCAGTAACATTCTGTAACAAAGTATGTTTAAAGTAATTCTGTTAACATAATTTGATGACTTTCCATTAGGTTTGGATTCATAATTGTAGCTATTTATCAAATTTCACAGGTGCGTTACTGATGTGTTCAAATTTTTTGGTAAAAAAGCTTATTTCAATTTTCACTTTTTTTTTTTTTTTTGAAAACTTGCTGTTTAGGCAGAATCGTGTGGTCATTTGTCATCGGGAGCAGATTTGCATGCAGTAATTTCCCGTGCACAAATGGATGCAATACGAAAGCGAATTGAAGCTATAGAAATCGGAATGGCAGTACCTGAGGAACAGCTTTTAATCACACAGGATAATCTCAAAAATGCAGTGAGTGAGGTTAGTTTTTCTTGAGCTGTTTTCCTGATTTTAGAATAGAGATGAACTTGATTAAGTAACATTTGATTTGATTATGAATTTTTTTGATGTTTGACCTTTTAAACTATTAAAGAAAATTAATAAGTTTTTGAAAAGTTATCACTAGAACATAGAACGTATAAGTCAATAATTAAGAAATTACAATAGTATTCCTGCGTAAAAATGATTTCAGATAATTCCATCTCTTGGTGCAAATTGCGGACAGTTGCATGAACTCTAAACTTCTCAATATTTTGATGCTAAGGCTTTTTGAGTAGCTTAAGCTTTTTTGGTTCTTCAGAAATAGCAATATTGTCTTCATTTCTTCACGAAAAGATCGTTAAAGTACTTAAATTGTGCTTTTTGCATTTTCATTTATTTTGTCACATCCTTATTTCTTTTTTTAAAAAACTGTGTTGCTGAAATTGTTTTAGCCTTTGATCTAACGCACATTGCACTCTGCTCATGTACTCTGATCATTCTTATGTAATATGTTTGTAATAATTTTCAATTGTTGGACATTATGTACTAATGTATTAGGTGTATATATTCTAATCAATTTTGCTCGGAACTTATTGTTAGTAAGATTCCCCCCCCCCTTTCATACATCTTAAAGTAGAGTTCTACCTGCTTATCAATACCTGTCCACATGATTCATTTCAGAACTTTCCAATTTGTCATTCATATCAAATAAAGATAAAATAATTGCGAAGATTACTTTTTCCTTCTTTAATATTTTTGATTGTTAATGAACAAATAAACGATAAATTTACATTCATCCGTAATGAAATAATAAATAATTGATGCTGTAGTGATACTGCAGTCATAAATAGTAAACTGATTGGAATAATTTAATGGAAAGTTAGTCACAGAAATAAATTTAATGATAGAATAATAGAAAGATCAATATTTAAACGAGAAGTAAGGTGCAATCACTATACATTTCCAAAAAATTGTGCAATAATTGTAGAATTTCATTGTGCATAAACTGAGTAAATTTATTTATGTGAAGACAGTCTTATTTAACTTATCTATTGATTGATTTATCAGTGATTACTGTGATTAGACACCCTGATTGATTAATTTGAGAAATAGCAATAAAGAAATTGAATATAAATATTAGATATTTTGAAAGATCTGTTACTATGATATTTTTCTTTCTGCTAAATTTGACTCTTCGATTTTAAAATCTTCGCTCTTTTTTTTTTTTTAAATTCAAGATGGCAGAATAGATCATCTGAAATACTTTACATAGTAAGAGAGGGAATTGATCATTCATTTCCAATCAATTTTATATCAGGTTTTATTCCTTGTGCATAATTTGCAGTGATTTTCTAGTTCCTCTAAAGATAAAAAGTTTATTTAATTTTCTATCATTATTATTATTATTATTTTTTTCTTTGATAATATCTGGAAGTTTCTATACCTTTCAATTTATTGAGGGCAATTCGCTGTAACATTTAAAGTATGAAACAAAATTATTTTAATTTTCATTTAGGCGTTGAAATAGAATGAACGGAAAGTTTATTCATTATATGACATTAAATGGTTGATTCTATCATAATTACATTCAAATATTCCCTTTCAAAAAGAAAAAAATGAATTTCTAATTACTGATACTTTTCCATTGTCATTATTCACCTTTTTTTGAAATTTGAACTTTTTTAGTTTTCTTAAATTCCTTTTTTTTTTTTTTTTTTTTTTTTTGTAATTCAAATTGGTTATTATCAAATTATTCCATTTGTATATTTATTACTATTAATGATTGCATGAAAAGATGGAAATTTCTTTTTTGTTATATATAAGGTCATTTATCTTTTTTGATTAAAAAGAAAACAAAAAGTGATGAACTGATGAAAAGGTCATATCAATTAATTTTTTCCTCACATATTGTTTCATCGTTAATCATTAAAACTCTCAAATTATTAGCAATATTTTTTTTTTTTTTAAATTTAATAATCTAACGTAAAATAATAGTTTCATTTTTTGATCTTTTACTCATATAAGTAATTTGATTTTTTATACTTTTTTCTTTTTGTTTTATGATGACAAAAACATTGCAATTTATGAAAAGGCAAAAGAGAAAAGAATTTTTGAAGTCTATTTGTTTTTTTTTTTGGCAAAAAGAGAACTTTTAAGATAAGGGCGCTATTAATTTTAATTGGCATTTTTAAGATTTTCATCACTCACACATTTTTTGATAAAAGCTTTCATTTGTTTGTTTAAATGACAGTGGCAGTGAACTGTCACTTATTTGAAATTAGACGGAAAATTTTAATTAATACTTAATTTCAACTTTCAACTATCAGTTGAAATATATTAATTTTGACTCTTGAATTTGAAGAGAGGTCATAACAGTGACCCCTAAAATAATCATTGAGTTTTGTTGCTATTGAAGAGAAGCAAAAAAGAAGAATGAAGGATTAAAATATGCAGCAAATGTTGTTTGACAATTAAACTCGTTGCCTTAGATACTTTTTGCTAGACGAGTTGTACTTTCCAGTCTAATTAATAATACTCAAAGATAAGATAAGGCTTATATAATAGCTTCAAATAATCTTAGCATCAAATTCTTCATTATAATCTAAAGCTAACGATAATTCCGGCATGGATAAATATTTAAATTGAAAATTAAGACTCATTCATTTTGTGAAATGCCAAGTGAGTCAAAATTTAACAAAATTGCATTTGTTAAAATATAAACTTTGCATGAAACAAAGTTACTTTGAAAGAAGGAGCGCTAATAAAACAAGAAACAAAAGCGCCAAACAGACATTTATATTATCACAAATAGAAGAAAAAATGACAAAATATTTATTGATCCTTCTAGCAAAAAAGAGAAAATTCCGTTTCACTAAGTTCATTTCATTTCATCAGAAATTTTTTATCAAATTAAATTTTTACATTTAATTATAGTCATATGAAATAATTAATTAATAATTATTAGTAATTGTACCATTTCTAGAAGAGAATGCTATTGTTGAAATTCTTAAATTTATTTAAATTTGTTGAAAATTGTACTCAATTCAAGAATAAACGTTTAATTAATTATTCACTTATTACTATTTAATGTTGAAATTAATGCAATGGAAGCAAAAAAAATTTAATTCATTTAGTGCTTTAGCGCCACTTTAATTTAATCAAAAAATTGACCACTCGAAGTGCTCATTCAATATAAGGCTAATGTGACATCACTTTAAGAAGTTTTTGAAGACAAGTCGAGTCGAGGACATGTCACCTCGGACATTCCCTTAATCACTCATCTTATTGAGTATGCGTGATATGCGTGACAATCAAAGCTCGGATCGGCGTCAACTGTCACGCACCTTAAGTACTCTTACGCTTTCCTATCAAAATTAGACTAAAATTATTGCTGTCATTTCTTATCAGAATTATTTATTGATCAAGTTGACAGTTACTGTAAACTAATTAATCATATTACATTATGATAAATCGATGTCATACTTAACCGTTTGAACAAAAACACAAACTGAAATTACAAGTAATTCTAATTTAAATTAATTTGAAGAATTTATGAGTTATTTTAAGGTTATGATTTCCTCTAAAGCACACAATTTTCTAATTCAATTGCAAGAAAAAAATAAGTGAATAATATTAAGTAATTTCGTGCGATTTCGATTCGTTGTTTTTCGAAAAGTTTTCCCAACAAACCGTAAATCAAAATGATTAAAGAGTTGGAGACAAATTTATTCATTTCATTGTAATAAAGAATGGCTGATGACTATTTGTTATTTTTAAAATTAAAAAATTTTCTTTCTTTCATAAAATGAAAAAATTTTGATGGCTTTAGTAAGATTACATCAAACCATAAATTAATTAATTATTACGAGAAAAAGGGCATTAAATAATAAAAAAAATCTGCTAATTAATAGAAATTAATTTATTTAATTTGATGACAATATTATTAACTTTATGTGAATGAAATTCGCCTTTATGTAAGTAATAATTTCATAGTAAAATTTTTATACGTAAATACTTAGAAAAAAAAAAAATAAAAATAACTGTGATGAATTCTTCATCTTTCTCTTATTGCTATTTATTAAGATATATTAGCATTTCGAAACTTTAGAAAAATAGCAAATATTTTTTTTTCTTGGAATTATGACAGATAATATTGTCAATTTTTTTTCTTTCTAATAAGCGTTATTTTTATTATCATAATTGTTTGGCTGAGAAGTCATGTTTTTTTTTTTTAAATTTGAAGAATTTTAAATATTTAATTTCTGAGCAAATAAAACACTTCATATTCCAATTGGATTTTCAAGATGTTATTTGTAATTCAGTGTGAAGTATGCTTTTTTTTCATTTCCATAGAATAATATTACTTCATGATAATCTCTTGTCTGACCTCAATTTCAGCCTTAATATTTTCTTTTTTTTTTTGCACAACTGAAATTATTGAAAACCACTTCTCTCTTTGAAATCAGTTATTGCTTCTTTTAAACTTTTAAAATGTTTACTCAAAGGTTACCATCATTTGACCTCTAACTTCAATTCCAATTAATTACAGATACTGCTTGCATTATCAGATTAACACAGACTTTAAGCTATTTAAAATTTTTTCTTCATACTTTAATTCACTATATTCTTAACAAATTTATTTTCTCATTTATTTTCAAAGCTTTTAATTTGACTGACTTTCTTCAGTGAAAACGACAATACCTGCAATTAATAAAATTCTATGACTATGCCTAAACAACTAAAATTTTATTTAATTGAGGAACTAAAAAAAACAGAAAAAAAAAACGGAAGCATTAGAAATAGAATGCTCTTTCTGTATTTACCCTTTCGGTTATAAAAAGAACGGAACACTTCCGTATTTCATTTATGTCTCCCTGCTATCCTTTCATTTGTTCGAAAAAGAATTCTTCTACTTTTATCATTTATTTCTGTATTTGAAAGATTAATATTCAACCACTTTTCATCCAATAATTAATTAATCTTTAATTGATGAATGCTTGCAACTTTATACCTCAATATTAGCAGTTATTGATATAACAGATCGACAGTCATGTCAAATTATCTGAATTAAATTGTACGAGAAGTCGAGAAATATCGTCTGAGAATATCAGTCGAGAAATATTGCTCGAGAATATCAGTGTGTCCGGAAATGATTGACAAAGCATTCCTTCCGGCTGAATTCATTTCAGTTTTTTCTGTGGTCACAAATTGTGCATATTGTTTCCTTCTTTCTCATCCAAACCAGTTTTCTGCTATTTT